CCACTCGTGGGACACTAATTATTTTTTTTTGTTATTCACTACCAGAAATCAATATTTTTCCACTGAAAAATATTTAGTGGTTATTTCCATACATATTTTTGATTGAATTGGAGAGAAAATATTAATGTTTTTAATATAAAAAGATAAGGAAGTTTTTCATTAGTTCAGTGAGAATATGTTTTTCACCATGCATTTTTTGAGTGAATTGATTAGATGGAAAACGAGAGAGAAAATCATTTTCTATAACACAATTTTCTTATTGATTCACAATCGGAAAAATCTTTGTTTCTAGTAGTACCTACTATTTATACATGATTAAAAATTAGTTTTTAGGTATATATAGTAGATGTTGAACCCTCTTCAACTAGTTCATGTGTTAACTTCTTCAAATTCTGAACCTCCTTATTGAAAATTCTGGTTCCGCCACTATTTAGCTTTTTTGTTTTAAAGTTTATCTTTAATTAATTTGGCATGTTAATTAAGGTGGTTATTGTGCTTTTTAAACTTGAGATTGAAGCTATTGGCGTAGACATAGAGAAGAATTGGATTCTCCAACACTACAACTTTAATTATTTTTATTTTTTTTAATAATAATGTTTGTTTCAATGTTTGTTTTTTAATTTGGTGTTAGATACGATATGCATTGCATGGGACAAAATGCAAATGTTCCTTTATTCAAAAGGCGTGCGATATTCGAAAAATCGCAATAATCTATCGAACCCTCTATTCCCATGATCCAGCTAGAGCTAGTGCAAAGGCCAGAGTTAGAAAGTTACGAACTGGTTTGATCGAATTCAATAATTTTAATTTTAATCTTCTATATTAAAAAAGAATCACTATAAACAAAATTTAAATTCGAAATTCAGGTCATGTTAGCTATATATCCAAAAACTTAGAATTCATAAAATTTAAATTTTAGCTCCGAGTCTAACTCGTAGAACTCTAGTTCATGATTATATTATGTGTATATATATAAATATTCTATTAAGAAAGAGAGCATAGGATCCATTTAAAGATTGAATTTACTTCCAACAACTAAGAGTGGTTCAAGTGATTTGAGGCATATATGTGGACCATGAGCATCAGCCGTAATGAAAAGAAGGAACAAAGTATTTGTCATACTTATGAAGTTTTATAATATTAGAGAATGCACCAAGAAAATATAAAATTAGTTAAGGAATTTATCGATAATTTTTAGCTAATTTATCACTAAAATGCTCATAATTAAAAAAAAATCTTATAAATCATGGCTAAATAGGATTAGTATGAGATTTTTGCTATTTAGCGTATAAAATTTTACCTGTTACTAATCCTCGTTTTCTAATAGTGATAATTACACTTTGATATAATTACCATGCTCCCTAATTCTATTTCTTCCCTATGATCTCTCCTACTCTAGTCTAGAGGAGCATTAATTCCATGTGCTGAATACTTTTCTATGGGAATTTTGGGGGTGATTGGGTGCACACAAACTATTTTCATGCACCATATATGTGTGCACGTGTATACGTGTGCATTCATGATATATATATATAATATAATATATTACATGTATATGGTATATGTAGGGGTGGACTATTTTCATGCACCATATATATACCTTAGAAGTTGAATCCGTCAAATTTAAATCTTGAATTCGCTTCTGCTTAAAATAGTAAAAATTCTAGTGTAGGTCAATGAACACCATGTGTAAGTCCCTCTTTCTCTTCCTATATTGTTTTTATGAGATGTATGACTTCTGTTGTAGTCAGACACTCAGACATGAATCCAAATTTGGTTCTTGATGATAGAAACACCTCTCCTTATTCTCATCTCCACCCCTCTCTCCCACACTTTCATAGTGTGACTCAGCAGCTTGACACCTCTATAGTCGTATTGTAATTTTGAATATTACATTTGTGCTTGTACAATAGGATCAATGTATTCTACCTCCATTCTTCGGGCTATTTTGAAGTCCTAAAATGACGTTAAACAATCCAATTAATCACTCCATACCTATTATAACAACGTTCTTCCAAAATTCCACCAAAATTTAGTGTGGCCTCGTTGCCCTCCGCTTCCTCATTTTATGAATAACCTTCTTAAATTTGATATCAACTTCTTCCCCATCTCCTGAGCTTTGAAAGTAGGCAAGCTACACCACTTGACCCTCATAGATTGCCATCCTCGTCAATAAATTTTATAAATTATAGTTGGATAAGTAGTACTCGCCAATCAAGATATCTTTCTTCTCATGGAGAGTGTGACATTGCTAACTTCCTTTCTTTGAATGACATTCTGACAAGACTTGGATATACAATGCCCTCACGGTCTCGCACACCTACAAACTTGAATGAGGACAGTCAGACTAACCCCAAAAAAGAACTCTCACTCGAGAAAGCGGCCCCCCCTTTCTGCCTTTCTTGCTTGATTCGTCTTTTATCTCAGTGTCTTATCCGGATTGAATGTATACTATCCCCTATCGGACTAAGGGCTTTGATCGAATATTCCTCTGTTCTATTTTTCTTGGTCTTTGTTGACTTGACACTTTACTCCCCTTGAAAACTATTTACCAAGGGTATGTTTTATCAAATTACCCTTTTGATTGCGTTTTGAAAATTTAAATTTGACTACAGTACTTTATGTTAGTTACTTCACGATAAAAGATAATATTGAAAGAAAATAATAGATATCTTTAATAGACAAACAAAAAAGTATATTTATCATATATATAAAACAAGTAAAAAGGAATGAAGGGAGCAAGAAGTTTTCTTAGACTGGTCAAACAAGAAGATTTTTGTGGTCAAAAGGTAGCTTTAGAAGTTGGCATTGTTGTAAAATAAAGGCTATAATCTATATATACTTTACTTGGAAGTACAGATCTAAAGCTCAAAGTAGCCTTATTAATTATTTGAAGTATAATTTCCAAATTTGACATGACTTGATAGCTAGGGAAATTCAAGAATTCATTATTTTTGGCCATTTAAAATTGGATAATTTGCCTTCTATATTATTTTTGGCACAAAAACTTGTTGTTAACCAAGTAACTCAATAATAAGTGTGTCGTTAGTTAAATAGCTCAAAAATATCCTCCCACGATGTGCATTAGATTTATCGATAACTAGCGTTACATTTTTGCAATCCAACAACTTGTCAAACAAAGTATTATTCTTGTATTCCCACATCTAATTCCTTGTTTTTTGGTACTTTGTTCTAGTTAATGATAACAACGTGACCACCCCACCCAAAACACTCAACTCTAAAGGTATATATAATATACCAAAAACAAAAGAAAGAAAAAAAGATACTTGATATTCATATTTATAATTTAAAAAAACAGTTTTTTCTACCTTTACAAGGTTGCAGTAACAAACTTTTATTTATGAGATTACACAATATATTATGATATATATAAGCACAGACGAATCTAAAATTTCTAGATATCAGTGCACCACTAAAAAGGAAGAAATTGACGCCTAATCATCTAGATAAATAACTCAACATTCAACCAAGTGCGTCATTTTATCTTTTTGTAACTTGAACCAACAGATAATATTATATCAATTTTAATAATATACATCAAATACCTAATTTTATAAAGAGACCACAAGTTCACGTGGCCAATGGCCATATTCGCCCCGGTATATAAGTAGTATACTTTGCCACATAATTCAGCTATCAATTTTACGTACGTAAGGAATTATAGTATTGTATAGTGCATGAAAATACACAAAACCCCACAAAGCAAAAAAGCAACCACAAAATAAAATAAATAAAAATATTGTGGTATAGAAGCCTTATTATACTAGAGTATAAAGCAATTGGTTCCCTTCATGTCACGTTCAAAACCAACAATAACATACCTAGTGGGTCCCAGGAGACCGCGGGAATACACAAATCTTAACCCTATTTTAATTTAAAAAGTTATTTTCGAAAGATCTAAATTCAAGAAAATCATTTTTCAGTATAAATTTGAAAAAGAAACAAGAGTAAGTAAGCTACAACTCTCTCCAAAAGTGAATATATAATTTAAAATTTTAGATTTTTACCGCTAAAACTTCGTATTTATAATTAGTAAACTTTATTTTTCATATATAAAAAAATTACTGAATTTAGTTGAACTTGTTAAAATTACACTGGTTCCGCACCCCATCACCCCCCACCCCCTCTAGCTACAAGAAAGTAATAGAATCACTCCAACCTATAAAGAAAACCAACCACCCCTAGCCCCATGTATCCAAATCCAAATCCAAATCCAAATCCAAATCCAAATCCAAATCCAAATCCAAATCCAAATCCAAATCCAAATCCAAAGCCAAAAACCTAATACTTTGGCTTCTCTTTTCTTTCTTTGCCTAACTAAGGGCCCGTTTGGCCATAGATTTCCCAAATAATATTTGGGAAAAAATTTGGCAAATAGTGTTTGTCCATACAATTTGCCATTATTTGGCAAATATTTTTGGCAAATATCCCAAATTCCCAAATACTAATTTTTTCTAGTATTTGGGCCAAATCTCATTATTTGGAATCTTTTGAAAATTGAAATTTTACCCCAAACTTTTATCTTTTACAAAAACACCCTCTATAGTAGTTGTTTGTGTCGTATTACATAATTTTTCACGTGAACACCAAAGTAGTGATGAAATATCAATGAATATTAAATGATGATATGGTTGTTGATGAAAATGATGAACAATCGGTTCAGAGTAACAAAGTCATGTGTTTTGTCTACTTCACGATGTATGGAATGATGCTCGTTGCACTTACTCCAAACTACCAGATTGCTCTAGTGTCATGGACACTATTTGTTATTGTTGCAACGAAGATTCAATTGACTTGTAATACAAACTAATGGTTAATTTTGATCATTTTTAAAACTTATGGGTATAAATCATATTTTTCTAAAAAGTGAAATATATTTCCCAAATATTATGGCCAAACACATGGTGAAATTTCACCCAAATTTTCACCCAAATAATATTTGCCAAGAATATTTAGAAATCTATGGCCAAACGCTAGCTAACATTCTTGCATTATTCCTTCACTTCACAAAGAACCTAATCATTGTAAAACATAACTAGTTTGATAATTTTCTCTTCTTTCCCTCAATAGAGGGCTAGAAGTTCAATTTCAAACTTTTATATATGGATAATATTAGAAAGTTCTCTAAGTGTTTTTTGAGTTTTTTTGTGTTTCTAGTATTTGTTTGGTTATTGTTGGTTGAAGTATTTGAAAATGGAGGTATTACAAGAATGAATTATGTTGATGATCAAGTTATGAAGAATAGCAAAGTAGTGATGAAAACACACAAGAGATCAAGTAGTAGTCATGTTCATCCAAAGATTGATTTCAATTTGGTGAGTAAAAGAAGAGTTCCTAATGGTCCTGACCCAATCCACAACAGGTTTGTCTTTACTTTATTTCTTTATGCAGCTTTAATTTCTGCTTAATATTTTTTTTTTGCTTATTACACTATAAAAAGTTAATGGTCAATAACATATCCAAACTATCGCGAGTTTTACATACGAATTATATATCAATTGTTCACTTTTCATATCAGAGCTATCGTTATCTATTTAGTTATAAAACACATGACCTCAACTATCAGATGTTCTGTTTTCTTACCTGAACTATTACCACCGTTCAGGTAGGAAAAGGGAACAAGTGATAGTTGAAGTGTGTTTTTATACAAAAGTAGTGATAGTGTCTGTTGGAAAAGAAAATGATTGATAGTTAAATTGTGAAGTTCGCAAAAAAGTGATAATTAACAACAAATAATATTTTTTAAAGAGACTTACTCGTAGAATCTTCTAAATAATTTGATAGTGTAAAATAAAATATACACTAACGATGTAGATTACCTAAATCCGTAATTGATATACATATATATATACCCTCACAAATCACATCTTATATAGTTATTATTAAATATTTACATTATATATAGTATTGATCATATAAATTTTTATATTATTAGTGTAAGTTAACCCATTTAGCCGATTTTCTATGTTATCAATCAATATTTAGTGACATGTAATGGCATGTCTTTTAAACAATTTGATTGTATAAATTATACTAATTATAATTATGATCGTCTAGTGAGCATTTGCTGTTAATTATTGATATTTTCAGAAGTTTGGCTCACTTCTAGATGCAATTAGCTAGTGGAAGTAATTAAAAAAAAAACTATATTTTAAGACTTCCAAGAGATTTTGCCAATTATCAAAGTAAATTTTAAGTTTTATTAATTCAAAGAAAGTAACTCTATCGTATAAATAAATAAAATATCTCTTCAAAGCTATATATTGTTCTAATTATTATTATTTTTTTCTTCCTTTTTTGGAATAATTCATCAATTGTTTTGAATGAATTTTTCATATTAATATAATTCCATCTTCTTTCCCAAAAGAACAAGACCAATTCAACTTTCCTATGAGGGAAAATTTAAAGGTGGCAAAATTGGCCAATAAAATCACGCTAAATATATTTAATTTTGGGTTAATTATCATTCCTCCATTTATTAGCTCAATCCATTTTTATTAATTCATTTTAGTCATCAAAATTTTGACTGATATCTTAGCCCAAATTAATCCATGAGAATCTTGTTAAAATATTTTTTTTTTAAATATTTTTTTTTGATATGTTATATATAGTCATGATAAAAAAAATAATAATATTTTTATTAGGTATTAAGAAATTATTTTTAAAAATAATAAAATAATTAAAACTGAGTATAAATTGGGTGAGTTAGATTTTGACGTGTCTTTTTAGCTCATTTCAACTCAAGTAATTTTTTACTCGTCTATTTATTAAGTAACTTAAAACATTTTGGCCCGTCTAAATTCAGTTTAACCTGTCTATTTATTTTACATTGAGCCCATAAAAATGAATTTTTGAGACAAAAGTAGTAGGGTTTGCATGCTTAACTGTTACATCAAGTACTCCCACTCTTAGATTCTGTTCAAAGTTTTATTTACTGAATTTGTGTAACTTTACGTTAATGAATAAATTAAATAAAAAAATTATTTAGAAAAAGAAAAAGTATCTGTGTTCTGTTTTGTTGTCTTTCACTTTATTTATTCTCTTATGATTATAAATGAATAATAAAGCTTAATTAATTATCATGATAATTAATTAATTAACCTTTTCATTTTGTTTTCTATGCAACTTACGAGGTTCTAAATAATTAATTAACCTTTTTATGACATCTTCTCTTTTTCCCTTTTGCTTTCTTTTTTATCCTTTATCACTAAAAAGCTTTTTCATCACTATAGATGCAAATCATATAAACATCTTTACCTATCAAAAGAATGTTTTCTTAAACAAATTTAATTTCCATATATTAACGTCAGAGGCGGAACCATTATTAGGAGTTTGAGAGTTTTAAATTTTCTTCCCCTTCCTTATTATTGCAATTAGTTTTGTTAGGGGTTCACAAGTTAATATATTTACAATTTTCTAGTACAAATACAAAATATACGGAAAAGCTACTGGGTTCGTTTGAACCCACAAACCCCACCTAACTCCACCCCTAATTAACGTGTGTGATCAACTCATCTAAGAACTTACATTACTAGATTTATATTTCATGAGCCAAACATGTAAAAAATAAATAAAAAATATAATGGGTGATGATGAGAATATATCACACTCCGAATTTTGTCTGCTTTAATACTATATTAAAGTATGTAATCTCAAGCTAATCCGTCACTAAAAAGCTCTAAGTTGATTGGAACTTCTCATAATTTGTTGCTAATCCATAACTAAATGAAGTTAACATGGAAATTTTGTTATTTAGCTACGAAATTTTACCCGTGAATTTATGTATGAAACTAAATTTATTTATCTTTAATTTTTTAACAGGAGAGCTCGGAGTTCTCGTAGGCCACCAGGTCAAGCTTCCAAAGGAAAACTCAACATTAAGCCATAAACAAATTAGGCCAAATTAGATAATTAAGGTTTGTGAGATGGTTTTTTTTTTTTTTTTTTTTTGAAAAAAATATTCTTGTATGTAATTGTTGAAAAGGGAAGTCTCTATACATATTGTCAGAATGAATTTTCAGATATCCCAGAGCTTGTGAGATTTTTTTAAAACTAAAAAAAAAAAACTTTTAAGGGACTTTAAGAAACAAAGAATTATAAGTAGAAAATCCAAAATTAAATTAAATCCCTCAACACCACCATTTAAGGTGTGTATGCAGAATTTTACGTAAGCGATGTTATGTGAAATTAATTGAGTTATAAGTGCATGGATTTGGGTAATTTGAGGTTGTAAGTTTGAATAAGGCTTTATTTCTGTTCTAAAATTGTCTTTAATTAAATTTTGTATCATTTTTCAAACGATATTTATTGCATATTATTTTAAGTTTCAAAATATTTGTGTTTATATATTAATTGAATATTTTGACAAAAGAAGTGTCGAATGATACTATCTGGAGCAAGTAATGGGAATATTATAGAGTGGAGTACCTATTTGTTTATGGTTAAATAACCGAATTTATCGACGGATAAATTCTATAGCTAATAAGTAAAATCCATAGTTAATTCTATTAGCGACATATTATCACAATTTTTTTTAGCTAAGAGCAAATTTTCAACGAAGTTCATAGTTAATATCATTTTTTAGAGGAAATTACGCGCAAATAGCCACTAAAAATAACTTAATTAAGCTTCATATTTGTTAATTACTATTCGTAGCTACATGTTAGAGGGAGGAAAGAGGCGAGTGAGTTTGGGAGAGGGAGGAGAGAGGCAAGTGAGAGAGGGGAAAGAGTGGAGAGAGGTGAATTGTATTTGTATATCTATCGAATTGTATATGTATATCTGGCAAATAATTGTATATATGTAATTGATATACATATGTATTTGTATATCTGTCAAGCGAGATTGGAAGAGGGAGGAGAGACGCGAGCGAGAGAGGGCAGAGAGTGGAGAGAGACGAATTGTATTTATATATTTGTCATATAATTGTATATGTATATGTATAATTTGTATTTGTATATTTATAAGAGAGGAGAGAGATGCACATAATTATAGCTAAAAACAGGTTGCGAGTGGTAATTAATTCAAACTATAGCTATGTTAACTAATTAACTAGTATATGTTTGCTAATTATCCGCGTAATTTCCCTTTTTTTATAGTGGTTTGATCGGAATGATAGAGAAAAACGAGAAATCTTACATGGATTGTCTTGATTTGGAATATGAAGGTTAAATTAATTAATATTCGTTGTGAATTCAAGTATTCTTCAATTATTATTTTTATATAAATTACATACTTAGAAACTATATAAAAAGTACTATAAGTCACAATAATTAACAATTCAAAATATTGTAAAAGTTATGATAACAAAAATATGTGTTAACTATCCAAATAATAACTAAGACAATCCTTTTGAAACGGAGTGAATAATAAAAAATTATTTAGAGAATTAAGAAGACAAGATAATGGGGAATGTTTAACAGGAAGTGCATGTCTTAGCAGCCATGCATTTTTATAAGATTACGAATCTCATGTCAATCTTGTCAAATTTCTAGTAGCTTTTGCTTGTAAATAAAGGAACTTTTTTTTCTTCTTTTTTCAATTGCACTTATTGATTTGATATTAAGAAGTTGGCATGTGCTCCTAAAAAAAAAGTAGCAAATGCACTTATCTGAAGTTATTTTTGAGAGAAATAGTGTATACTGATCACTTTTTAAGAACAATAACAGTAACATGTTCAGTAATCAGTATAATTTTTTATGTGGTGTTTCAAGAGTGTAGGAGATACACATATCTTATTTCTTCTACTTTTATGGGATAGAAAGAGATGTTTCCGATAGTGATTTATTAATTTTATATAGAAAAAAGCATAGGATATACACATATCTTATTTCTTCTACCTTTGTGGGGGTAGAAATAGGTTGTTTCCGATAGTGATTTGTAAATTTTACATGGAAAAAGTTATGTTTTACTTGTTAGTTTTTGACTTAACACATACCTTAAGAAGCAATAAATCAAATGATCATTTTACTATATCACTCCTAATTATTAAATCGTATAAATATTGAGAAATGAATAGTAGGGTAAAATGATAAATTACCTCTTCGTTGTTTTCATATTAGACAAATAAAAAGAATATTTACTTTTAGTATAGTGTACGAATAAAAATGGACGGACGGAGAGAATAAAAGGAAAAGTTTTATGTTAGTCCTTTTCATTACAAGATTCTTTAGTGGGGGATGTGAACACTGTTTTGGTCTTTGGTCCATTCAAACTTGTTGCAAAACCAAACATATATTTATATTCTATGATTCTTTAGCATGGCAATAAAAATAAAAATAAAAATTAAGTTTAAAAGAAAAGAGAAAAAACAAAAAAGGAAAATAAAGGTACGTAAAGGCCAAGATGGTACTATCTTCAAAGTGAATTAAAGACAAAGTAGGCTCTTTTATATTTGCTTTCTCCTTTAACATTTATTGGACTCATAACAAGCAAAGTTATAAGACTTGGTCTAAAGTTTTTTTGAGATTCAAGTTGGGGCAAATTTGCCTAAAAGGGTTAAAAAGGGAAAGAAATATTCAGTTGGAATCATTGGGCCACCACATCTGTTTTTAAAACTTTTTCGGTGCAAATTTGAGTTTAATTGATTTTCAATATGGATATCGTATAAAAAGTGAGAAATTAAAAAGAAAAAAATAAATTCTTGTTAAACCATCAAACCATTCTACTTTTAAGGGGGAGTTTGGTATGAAAGGAAAATATATTAAACAAGTGGTTTTTCTTAGTATTTAAGATTTATTATCTCAATAATCTTTTTTTATAATCTACGGAAACACTAAGGAGGGTGAAGGTGGATTATATAACAAGGTAGTGAATATTTTAGTCCCTTGAACAAAGAGTTTTTCACGATAAAATTCTTTGCGTTGGATTATATTCCGCACTTTACTTCTTGTAAAGCAATTGAAGAACCAGGTCCTTCAGTGAATTAAGTGACAACATAAATTTAACAAGAGTTAACTTCTATTCATGTAAAAAAACAACAAGATTTTTTCCAGATTCTCATTGCATTATTATTCACTGCATAACAATCTGTACATTGCTGTTCACAGCATAAACAATCACACGACGTTCATATTCAACACGAGTACATCCATTTAAACGAAAAAATTAAACCGCGATCATGTGGTTTTAAATCTCCTAAAGAGAAGGTACTTTAAAGCATAAAAAATCTCCTTAACAAAACTAAGAAAGTTATCAGATCCTTCCCCTTCTCCGTCTTCTTGACCTGAGTTCGAGCTGAAGATATTGTTCTCTCTATTAGAGGCTCCGTAAAACCTGGTTAATCTTTCCGATACAGATTGTTGGGTTTCATCCAATGATTCTTCATTACCTTCATAATCATCATCATTTTCATGTACTAAATGTATTCCACATTTCTTCAGTTCAATACCTGTAACGGGTAAGTTGCCCAAGCCCACCTGTATAATATCTCCGTCTTCAAGAATAGATACTAATGGATGATAATCTTGATACCTGCATAAATAAACTTGATCCTCCGGTGTTGTTGGGACTCCTGCCAAGTACATACCAGTAGTAAATACTGGTCTATTTGCTCTAACGATTTTTGCAAAGATATTAGCCAGTACTGGCAGTTCGTCTCGTAAATCATCTGGTTCAGCACAGTTCACAGAAACAACTATGGCAATGATCACTGCTTTGATATCATTGTTTTCGTGCTTTGAGAAATGCACTTCGCTTGGAGTAAACCAACTGGGAATTTCATTGCTTGGAATACTAAAATTGTCCAAGTTCTTCAGAGCAACCTGAGTGTGAAAACCTTTTCATTAAGGTAACTGTTTTGACAAGAAATTGAATGAAAGAAACAATGTGTGTTTGGTATGACAAGGAAAAAAGTTCTGGAAAATGTTTTCGTGAAATATTTCAGTTTTTGGTATTTGTTTGCCAGAAGATACTCTCCACGGAAAGAGAAATAATGATTTTCCTCACTTTTGGGCTAAGTTGCGTGAACTCTTCACTTTCGATGCCGCACCCGTGTCAGATTCTCCAAAAATACACTACTTTTCACCTTTTTGAAGAGTCCGTGCAACATAGACTTTGGGCAAAGAGTCTGTTTTCCTTCTTAATTACTATCATTTATCTTGACTTCTAACTTCAAATCACAGTTTAACCAACATTTAGAAATTATTATCAATCATTTAAATTACGAAGAAGTTTCATCAAAGACACGAAAAAAATTTCCACTTACCAATCAAACACCTAAAAGCATATAGGAGAAAAAAGTACCTTATCAAGTTTCCTTCTAACAATAGAGGCACAAGAGACGTTGCATCCAACCATATGTAGCATTTTTAAGGATCTCAAGCATTCGACACCTTGGACGTCGACCAAACTCATGCAATTCGCGAGGTTTAGTTCGCGCAAGAACACTAATTCTGAGATATCGTGCATACTCTCTAGTGCTCCACAATTTGCAGCATTTATCTCGAGCAAACTTGAAGGAAGAGGAGGAAGAGCTTTCAGTTGTTTGCAGTGGGGAATTAAGAGCTTTTTCAAGAAATGTAGTCCTTTAAGACTAGACGGCAAATGGGAAAAATCATTGTGACCGAGATTGATGAACTCCAAAGATGATAGTTTCTCAAAATCATCAGGTATTTTCCCAACTATTCGCCATGCACGTGCATTAAGTTCTTCTAACCAGGATAACTTTGAGAAAGATGAAGGAAGCACAATAGGTACGGTTTCCCTTTCTGCATAGGTAGCTGTTTCTGTGATTTCAGTACTTTGTGGTACCTGCATAAGTGTAATTTTTTGAAAATGTGGATTCAAAATATAATATTTATACTAATTTTCACCACTGTATACCTGACAGAAAGGCTTCTTTCCCATCCTCAGAATCATTAAGCTCGATAGCATCCCAAAAGTTTTAGGTAATACTGTTACTGCAGTCTCCTCCATTAGCAAGTGTACTAAGTTCTTCAGTTTCCCAATAGAATCTGGCAGTTTGTGCAGTCGCTTACAGTTAGTCAATCTCAATATGACAAGATTCTGCAACTCTCCAACTG